GAGCAAGAAATTTAGTGACTCTATACATAAAACATTTGATGATTTGTGGAAAAATAAGAAAAATAATGATGCTGGCTGGTTACTTCTAGCATCTCTGGATAAAGTGATGAAGATATACAATGAGTTTAATGATAAAATTGACAAGCTCCATATTCGAATCAACAGTTTAAATGTTTCCAAGTGTGCCCTGGAAGAGAATCTTCTCTCCAGCAGCCAGAGAGCTAAAGCTGCAGAAAATCAAGCTGGAGACCTAATTATACGTTTGGCTGACCTACAACGCAAATTTAATTCCCAGCCTCGAAGGGTGTCAGCAGTAAAGGCGAGGGCATTGGTAGGAAAAGATTGGAATCCTGACATGTGGAATGGAGATATGAGGGAGAACCCTGAGAAGGCTGAGGATTTTGAATCCTCAGATGCTGAGGAATTTGGTTCACCTGATGAACTAATTGAACCACCCTCAGTAACCCACTATCCCCACCCTTGCCTGAGGCAACTAATCCCATTGAGGAAGATAATCCCATTCAGCAAGACAAAGCTGATGTCCCTCAGGGCCTAGTTATTGTTTCTTCTAGACCTATAACCAGACTTAAAGCTAAGCAGGCCCCTAGAGGAAAGATAGAAAGTGTGGTCCATGGGGAGGTACGCTACACCACTAAAGAACTTAGTGAATTTGCTAATTCTTTCAAACAGAAATCTAATGAATATGTCTGGGAATGGATTTTAAGGGTATGGGATAATGGTGGAAGGAACATAAAATTGGATCAGGCTGAGTTTATCGACATGGGCCCTCTGACTGGAGATTCTAGGTTTAATATGGAAGCTCGTGCTGTTAAAAAGGGTGTTAAAAGTTTATTTGATTGGTTGGCTGAGTTATTTATCAAAAGATGGCCTACTTACAGAGAGCTGGAGATACCTGATATCCCTTGGCTTAGTATTGATGAAGGAATTATAAGGCTCAGTCAAATTGTTATGCTCAAGTGGATTCGCATTGCAAAACCAAATCCTCCACAATGGGAGGGCCCA